TACTCTTATCGTCTTGGGTTTTTGTGTAAAAAGAATAACCATTTATATCATATCCACCCCAACACAAAACCTCAAAAGAAGGCCCTGCAGCTAGCCTCTGTATTGTCTCAGAAGGATTGCCATCTTTTAACACTTCTCGCTTGAACCACTCTGCAAATGACTTATTATGTTCATTAGCTAGTTGCATGTCACTCTTTCTTGGATTCAAGTTCCTCAGCATATTCTTGTGAGCATTTAAGTACGGCAAAACTTCATCCGTGTTGTTTAAAATGTATAGATGTGCCTGCATTACAACTTCTCTTGACATAGACCTCACTATGACACCCCGTGTTCCCTTGCTTCTTCTCCCTTGATCATGTCGAGATTGAGGAAGACCAACTGCCTTTACCCTGTCAAGATATGCGTTACAAAACTCAACTGCCTCCTCAGCTACATATCTCTCAACAATTGATGCCTCAGGCCGATAAGGATTCTTAGAGTACCCTTTTAGGATTTTCATGTATCTCTCAAAAGGGTACATCCATCTTAAACACACAGGGCCACAAAGTCTTATCTCTCGCACAAGATGAGCTATCAAGTGGACCATAATATCAAAAAATGATGGAGGAAAATGCATTTCCAATTGAGAGAGGATCACATAACCTTCATTTTCTAATTCATCCAACTCAGCAGGATCAATGACTTTGCTGCAAATGGCACTAAAAAACATACAAAGTCTTGTAATAGTATTTCTCACATCGGTTTTCATAATGCCTCGAATAGCAAGTGGAAGTAATTGTTGCATCAACACATGACAATCATGAGACTTCATTCCCGTTATCTTCAAATCTTGCATTGAAACAAGTTTGCTTAAATTAGAAGAATAACCTTGTGGCACCTTAATAGTATTGACAAAACCACAGAAACTTCTTTTCTCTTCTTTTGATAATGTGTGCGCAGCTGGATGTAAATAAGCCCTCTTACCATCTCTTTCTTGTGGGTGAAGGACATTTCTTATTCCAATTTCGACTAAGTCTCGTCTTGTATTGATTCCATCTTTAGTCTTTCCACTTATATGCAAAAGTGTACCAACAAGACTCTCACATACATTCTTCTCCACATGCATCACGTCTAGACTATGCCTCACATCAAGACTTCGCCAATATGGAAGATCAAAAAAGACAGATCTTTTTTTCCATATATTTCTCTCACTGGCAGTCTTCTTCTTCTTCTTCTTACCGAAGACCACATTAATTCCCTCCACCCGCTGATAAACTTCTTCTCCAGTTAATGGTCTTGGAGCCATTTCATATTCTTGTGAGCCATTAAATGCCTTTTTCAATCTACGGTAAGGGTGATACCGACTAAGAAACCTTCTGTGACCAAGATATACTGTCTTCCTGCCATGTTTAAGTTGCATATAGTGGGTGCCTTCTTCACATATCGGGCATGCTTTATGCCCCTTAACACTGTATCCAGACAAATTTCCATATGCTGGAAAGTCATTTATCGTGGTGAAGATCATGGCACGTAAATTGAAGGTCTCTTGTTTATATGCATCAAACACATCAACACCTTCCTCCCATAATTTCTTCAGATCCTCAATCAAAGGTGCCAAATACACATCAATATCGTTTCCCGGTTGTTTTGGCCCCGAGATCATCAAAGATAGCATGATATACTTTCTTTTCATACATAACCAAGGAGGCAAGTTGTAAATTACGAGGAGCACTGGCCAAGCACTGTGTGTGCTACTAAGATTACCATATGGGTTAATTCCATCCGTACAAAGCCCTAGCCGAAGGTTTCTTGGCTCGCCACCAAATTGAGGAAATTTTTGATCTATTGTTTTCCATTGAGGAGAATCTGCTGGGTGACGAAGCTTTCCATCACATATTTTCTCATCAAAATGCCATCTCAAGTTCTTTGCATCTGTGGCATTAGCAAATAGACGCTTAAATCGTGGTATTATTGGAAGATACCACAGAACCTTTAAAGGAGAACCTTTGGTCATCTCATTATAATCACCATCATCTTTCTTCATTTTGTATCTTGAAGTCCCACATTTAGGGCACTTATTCAACTCTTCATAATCATTTCTGAATAATATGCAGTCATTAGGACACGCATGTATCTTCTCATATTCCAAACCCATCGGACACAAAATCTTTTTTGCCTCATACATTCGTTTCGGAAGTGAATTCCCTTTGGGAAGAATATCACTCAGCAATTCAAGCAATTCCGTAAAACTAGCATCGGTCCAACCATTTCTTGCCTTCAAATTCATCAGTTTCAATACGGTTGTCAATCTTGTGTAATCATCTTTGCACCCCGGGTATAAAGGTGTCTCTGCATCACTACACAAAGTTTCAAAGGTGGAAGAAAACTGTGTAGAGGATTCAGACCTTATATCACGAAACATATCCGAAATTCTATCACCAAAGTCTTCATTACAACCTTCTCATTTGCAGACAGTGTAGTCTTTCTAATTTCTCCATGCCATATCCAATTTGTATACCTCAAATTTATCCCATCACAGATAAGATGCTCTTTTATCTCAGAAATACTCCGTCGACTATTGTTTAAACATTTGACACAAGGACAATAGTACAATCCATCTCCTTTACTAGGGGCATTTCTCTGAGCAAACTCAAGAAATTTTTCAACCCCATCCTCATATTCCTTGCTAATTCTCCTAGCTTTCATCCAACTACGATCCATTGTTCTACAGATTATTTAAACAATACTTTACTATCAATCAAAATTCATAACGAAGGAAAAAAACACAAAATAACTAACAGATTATTTATCACTAAATTCTTATATTTATTACAAAAAATTATCAAAAATTCGAAATAAATATAAAAAAATTATAAAAAAATTTAAAAACTTCACAATTAATCAACTCCAAACATTTTAAACATATTTCTAATACAGTATGTAAAAAGGAATTAAGGTTTTCTCACATCTAATGCCTACCAATTAACACCAATCAACGGTTCAACCACATAAAAATGCAAAATGAACAATAGAAGCTAACCACAATGTAAAACTAACAACCCATTTCATATATAACAGATTTTCATGGCTAAAACATTCAACAAACCAAGAAAAATTGAAAAGAATGAAAGAAGAGGATACTCACAGAGCAGAGAAGCTTCAAACGCGAAGTGAGGCGGCGGCGGACGGCGGTAACGGACCGGTCTTCGGTTAGATAGTGGAGGGTACGACCGGTTTTCAGTGGTGGACCACGGCTGAGCAAGAACCGACGGAAATGGGAGGCGCGGTCGACCACGGCGGAGTGCGGCGCACGGCGGCAAGGCTCCAAGGGCTCAATGGAGGAGTTTAAACGGTGGGCTAGAGGCGGGAATGGCCGATAATGGCAGTTTTACGGTGGTGGGGCAGAGGGGGACCACGGCGCACTGAAGAAATGAGAAAGAAAGTGAGGAGTCGAGCGGCCGAAAGTGGGTAGAAGAACACACTTTCCACGGCGGTTTTATTGAAAACCGCCGTGGAAATTCATAACCCCTTCAACTTATTTACAAAAATGCCACCGCGTTTTTTTCCACTTCGTTTTTCTGCTGAACCGCCGTTAGTTTGCGACGTTAAAGGTCTTTTTTCTAGTAGTGCTTGCATTATATTCTCAATATCCAACTTAAATCCGCGCATAAGTCTGTAATTTTGATGAGTCAAAAAAGAAAACCACCTTAAGTAATTTATCAACCATATAGGTTAGGGCAAGGCTGGAAAACTTCAGCACATTTTCTTACTTGAGGATCATTACAGAAAATTTTATTTCTAATAAAATTGAAACAGTAAATATTTGCTAAAAAAATGATTAAAATCTAACGACGGGTTTCCGTAGCTTGCAATAGTAATAGCTATTCAGTGATCATTACGCTGACTTTGTGGAGTTGCAGGTTGCAACGCAGAAGTAAAATCTTCGTAACTGATGAGCAAAATAATTAAATAGATAGATGAGATGAGGTTGATAACTTGATATTCAATAGTAAAATCAAATCAGCCCATGTGAGTTAAGTTGTGCGATAATTGCACCTGGTCATATTATTTCATGTAAGAAAATTTTACCGAGTCTTTTGGGTGTAATTAGTTCATCTAACTTCAATTAGTTGACCTTTTGCTGCAAATAATAGCCCAACGATTTGTAGAATTAACTTTTAGATCACCGGCCCCGACCCCCCCCCCAGAAAAATAAAAACCAAAGAATGAATTAATACAACAAATTAAAGTGAAGCTATTACGTCATAAGTTGCTATTATTTTGTTATATAGTAGTACTTTAACTTGAATACTGAGGATGCCATTCTAAGGCTCTGCGCGCACACACATATCATGTTCAAAAAGGTCAAGATCAATTTAATTTAGAGCCTTTTGCATTATCGATTTCCTCGACAAATAGTGACGAGGTTTGGCTCAGATCATTAGTTTCACACTCAAGCTTCTGGCTTGTGTTTATGCTTTAGCCAGGCTACGACGATAAACATATGTAGGTATTAAGAAATATTATGTGACGAGGAAAATAATCATAATGCCTCTGAAATTTTTCTCAGTTTGATGCAAGGCCAGGATGTACTCTTACTGACTATCATATAATAGTTGCAACTAATATCTTGATTACCTGTTCATTGTTAGAAGAGGAATAAGTGTTGGCAAGGTTTCAAAATTTTTCACCATTAAGGGTATAACTTATCATGTAATCTTGTTTTGGGGTGTAAAAAAGATTTCATACAATCTTCAGTCTAACTATTTCGTGAATACTTTGAGTAAGAAATTGACCTTTTTGAAGGGGGGTTTCATACAAAACCACAGGAAAAATGGTTTTGTCAAGGAGATCCGTGTGCTATTTTTGACTTGTGCATAACTCTATCCTTGTTTATATATAAAAGTCTCCTCTAGAAGCCATCCTTGTTTATATATAGAAGTCTCCTCTAGAAAACATCGTAAAAGATCTCCGACAACAAATCTCTCAGATGCAACTAGAGAGTAATTTTGTTTTCTATAGCTTTCTAGCTGTCGAACTTCATTTTTCTCATCCCATCTCGATGCCTATGTTTCTGTAGATAGAGCGAAGCAAGGGAAATACTCGAAAGCTTGCTTTCTAAATTCTGATTTACAACTTTAGCTAATGAAAAAAAAAAAACAAAAGAAAAGAGATAGAACATAGTTTCGCTTGAAATATGCAGTTCTCTCCAATATCGATCGATGAGAATATCTTACTTTCAAAAACGGTTCTCGGTCTCCGAAGCTCTCTTCAATGCCAAAAAAAATTATGCAGGGTCACACGTACGCAATATTTGCCCATATATCTCTGGGAACATCATCTCTGCGAAATCATCTGGTAAGAACTGCAAAGAGGGCACGGAAAGCTGTTAGTTAAATTTGTACTCCACACACAACAAATATATATGTCTGTATATCGAATAAAATTATAGGTACGTACTGTAAGAACACAAACTGTTCTCAGATCTATAAGTTCCTCTTTTTGTGTGCCTCTAACTTTGACTCCTCTTTTTCATTTTCTCTTTTCCCGTGTTATTTCTTTCCTAACTTGTGTCTAAGTTTTGCCACTGCCTCTATCCCCCTTTCTTTCCTTTCCTTTTTTTGAATCTAAATTCACACAAGTGCCATCAAAATAAATAATATTCACATGCAAAATGAATACATTATCCTTTATATTGAAACAGTTAAATATGCATTCGACGAATCAAGTTAATTAAAAACTGTCTCGGTATATGGTTATGCGCTCGTATAGAGCAAGACAGAAAAGAAGACTAATGTGGTTATATCTCTTATGGATCCTAAGAAGCGGCCAAAAAACCTTCTGTTCCGGCAGTAGAATGGTCTGATCAATTATTATTCGTAAGGGAAAAAACGAGCTCATATTCTCCCTGTGAATTGTAGAATCTAGAAAGCAACAATTGCTTTTAGATTATGATAGATTTCTTATCAGCATGACATTTTCACAAAGACCAAAATAGAATACGCTGGCTATAATATACAAAGTGGCCATTATAACTTATCATAATTGGCGAATGCGACATTCATCGTCCTGATTATATCAGTCTATCAACAAAGTCTAAGATCTTACAGAAATAATTAATCAACTCTCGTTCATTCGTAAATTTACTTGTAGGTGAATTTTAAAGGTTAAAAGAGTTGGATCTATCTACTGTCAGCTGCCCTCAAAATGCACTTGTAAAGAAATATCAAACACATGGAAATTAAATCAATAGAAAAAGCCAGCAGCCTCGCTCGAGAGAGAGGGCAAAGCTTGCGCAGGCATCAAAGATAAAGCCGATGGCAATAGAAGACGAACAATAAACATACCAAAGTTAAAAATGTTGGACGATATTGTCAAAGGCGCAAAATCTGCAGAACTGGAAAATCAAGAAGGACCGACGCTCCTACCATCCGTGTCCTCCGATTGCTCTTGATGTTGATGCGGCTGTAGAAGCAGCTGCTCCTGAAGCTGATTGTGCGGAGGCTGATGATGTTGATGCTGATCCTGATACGGTTGCGGTTGTTGTGGCCGTAGAAATAGCTGCTCCTGAAGCTGATGATGGTGATGTTGATGCTGCTGCGCCTGAAGCTGATGGGCCGGAGGCTGCGGTTGCAGTTGCTGTGGGGATAAAAGCGGCTGCTGCTGTGGCTGCTGCGGCGATAAAAGTAACTGTTCTTGAAGCTGATGGTGAAGAGGCTGATTCTGGTGCTGCGGCTGCTGTGGCTGCTGCGGCGGTAGAAGCATCTGCTCTTGAAGATGGTGGCGCGGAGCTTGATGATGGTGATGCTGCTGATCTCCTCCTTGGCTTTGCTGTAGTTGTACTGAACGGTAAGTGTTGTCATATGTGTTCAAAGCCAGCGATGGCGACATTTCTGGAGGTTGATTAAACCCACTCCCAGAAACCGAGCCCATTTCAGCTCCCCCTCCGCCACCGTAACTCATAAAGTCCTTCTGCTGCTGCTGCGTCGTCGGCGGTTGTTGTTGCTGATCATAAATCCCAAACAACTCTTGCACCTGCCTCACCTCCATATCCGTCGCTAACTGCGACCCCAACATCTGCTGCTCGTCACGATGCTGCTGCTGAGGTTCACGAATCACCAGTTGTCCGCCGCGCGCCCCCATAGCCTGCGGCGGCATGTTATTGTACGGGAAAACTGAGGGACCATAAACATTGCCCTGGTGGTGAGGGTGAAGCGGGACCATTCCGTGATGAGGGTCTAAAACGGGAACCATAGGTTGTAGAGCCTGAGGGCCTATATAAGTAGCGAGCTCCTTCTTCGCCTTGTCGACTTCATTTTGTACGTGCCTCAGCCTCTGCTGGAGCACAGAGATGAGGCCGACGCAGCCGTAGACTGGATCTCGGAGCCGAGCCTCGGCTTCGTAAGCCAAAGACCTGACGGCTTCTTCGCGGTGAGCCACGTTGAGCTCGGTGAGAAGCTTAGAAACATTGCTAGCGCCGAACACCTGTTGGACGTTAGAGAACTTGCGAGGGTTGTCCGGCGGGAAGTATGGTGCGAAGACGCATTCTTGAGTGCATTTTCGCCTCTGAAGCTTGCACGCGGCACACGGAGTTTTCGATGATGACATTATTTCCAGTCCTGTTTGATTCAGACGTATTAAAAATTTGATCTCGTGATCTTACTTTCACAACCAGACAAACAGTGCCGTTAATTTTACAATTAAGAAGGGAAGATTAGCGAGGGAGAGAGAGAGTCAAATAGCAATAATTAATCAATTAAATAATGAGGATTAATAAAGAAAGGTGAAATCCAGCATGGAAACGAGGAATCACATCGATCAAAGGAAGTGAGATTCAATGAAGCTTCATAATCATCAACAGATTCTTGATTGAAGATTAAAAAATTTCAGTGATAGATCATTAAAATAATCAGGAAGTCATTAAAAAGGGTCACATAATCAAATCAAGTGTCGTTCTCCTTAAGCAACCGACGTGAAATAAGGGTCCAAGGCGATGATTTTTAATCAGGGCAACATATTTAATTCTCGAAATCCCCAATAAAAGAAAATAGACGAACAAGAATTCCAGTCATCAGCATTTATCATCGCGAAAAATCTCATCATTCTATTGCAAAAGACCTAATTAAAAAAATAACAAAAAAACGAGTTGCACCGACGAGATCCAGACATGGCGGCTCTCGCGTGCTGGTAAGGTTTGAAAAAGAGGAGAAGACGAATCGAATGGTTTCAGAGAGGGGAGAAAAACAGCGACGCGCGGTGATCTCTAACAATGGCCGGCAATCGAAAATCATGAGATTTCACTACAAGAGAGAAGAAAATAATGAACAAAGTGAATTTAAACGCAAGAACAGAAAGAAAGAGCTTACAGTACTGGTGTGTGAATGGAGACGACAACTGAGCGCAGAATAATATAGATTATGAGAGCAAGAGAATTGAAGCAAACTTGAGAAGAACGAAATTTCTTTCTATCTCCTGCGTGCTTCGGCGTTCCAGCTTTGAGCTTTGAGGATTTGGGGCCAGCCTTCTTTAAATTCAATTTCGGCCCGGCCTTGCTATATTTCAATTTACTTCGATCAGTATATATATTATATTTGTCATTATCATGTTTGTTATTTTAGTTTAGATAATTTTAATTTACAGCCAATATTTGTTAGTATCTCAACATATATAGTAACAACTTTTATTCAAACCTTAATAGATTGATATTCGAGATTCTTCTATACTATTTGATTAATTGTTTGAGGCATTGTGCCTACTGCGGCGCATTTGTACGAATGCTGTGGTTATAAATCATAATGTTAATTGATTGATGTAGTCATATAATGTGCAAAGAATAATCATAAAAAAAATGACTAAAGAGTAATAAGTTTATATAATCAGTACCAATAATTAATTTATTGGTTCTCTCGTTAAGTTAGTTTAGATACGGATTGGATTTGATCATTAATTAGTTTGTACGTATTTGGTCAAATTACCATATTAGAAACTAAATCATGAAAATAAGAATGGCCTAGAATGCAAAGCTTTCCTTAAATACAATTAGGTCCCATTCATAATAGAAAAGTTTCTTAGAGTACACATACAATTTTTAAAATTAATTATTTTTTATTTTTAATTAAGACTAATAATATTGCTAAACTAACTAATGATCAAAGACTGAGTACGTAAAACAATGCAAACAAATCTTATACTACTTTTTATTTGATTAGGAGAATTACAACGGGTTACTAAGAAAAAAAATAATTACTAGTAAATCCTGTTCACAAATGAACAGTATCATGTATTTTCCTAGAATTTATTATTGCAAGGCCTTGTTGTTACTGAAATTTTGTAGTAATTGTGTTCCTTGCTCAACACGTTATAGTAATTCTCCCTATTTGATTTATCAATTGCTTTTTTTTTTTTAATGTTCGATAACTCCTCTAATCCTATGTATAAGTCACTTCTAACACGTTTCATGTAGACTAAGGAAAATCTTAAACTTTATTAACTTTTATTTAAAATTTAACAACTTTTTAACTTTGTTCTTATTTAATATACATTTTATTTCATGTAAACAAAATCAACACAATAATAAATAAAGAGTAAAATTGTGCATCTATATAAAAATTTCTCCCAGTGCCCTATAAATAGGATAAAAAAGTTAGTTTTTTGCACTTACAAATAGGACCAGAGGAGTACCACTTACCCTATTTATTATTAACTCTAATTCTTGTGGTAAGAATAACAAAAATTACTTTACCAAGAGTTACTTTTAATTAAGTCATCAGATGTAATATTTAAATAGTTCCAGGCATTAATAAATATAACGTGAAAATTCCTTCACGCTCAAAAAGAGCTGGAATGGAGATTTTAAAAAAAATATATACACACACATATATGACTCATAGTGTCTTCAAATCACTTTGAGCTTAAAACTAATTTCTATCAAGTCGAGAATATCAAGGTCAAAATCCTCCCAACAAGTATGTTTTATGGGATTTGAATTATTCTTTTTCTTATAGGAGTGAAACCACTTATTATTTTAACCTACAGTTTGTTAGTTTGAATGGAGATTTCTAGACAAAAGAGTGAAAGCAGACATTTAATGGGCTAGGAATCTTCACCTCATCATTCGCTTTTCTACAATAGATTTTACCACTAACCGAAAGAGGCGAACCTGTAGAATGTGCGTTTGGCTGTATGTTTGCACGTTCATGGCTCAAAAGTCAGCGTCCTGGATCTGGATATGTCGCTTCCAAGATCTCCCTAGATAACTTCTGGTCAATTATTAACCCTATTCTTCAACTCATTCAAAAACACTTGGTAGCATCGTTGCGAAGAACTATGCTATATTAATCAACTGTCCTCAATATCCTCAACAAAGGTACTTGTAATAAAAATTCATATTACTCTGTTTCTCAAGTTGCTACTGAGAAACAGAGTTTAAGGAAATGGGTTTCAAAACCCTACGGGGGTGTTTAGTGCTCCTCGCCACCTTCGCTGCAATCAGAATCTCAACTCAACAGATGACGGGTTGGATGAGAAGCCAACTAAGGAGGACGTTGACTACTTGATTTGGATATTTGTCTTTTTTGAACTTTTCACGTAAAGCCCATTTAGGAGTACTTATTTGGGTCGCTCTTCACACCCCCCCCCCCAAAAAAAGAATTCTGTTACAGTCCCACGCCCAGGCAATGCTATGATTCTTATTTGGGCATTTATGTTTTGGTTTTTTCCCCCCTAAGGTGCAGATATCATTTTAAGCTGTCTTGTTTAGAATACTATCAGGTATTAAATATGAGAATTTTTCTTAGTAAAGATTTAAATCTTGATTCACTAAAAAACCAGCCCCCTCCACTATATCAAATCCCTATTGGTGTTATGTTTGTTTCATTGTTTGATATGTTCACATTTAGTTCCTTGACTTTTTTTTTTAATCCCCAACATGATTACTTCTAACAAAATTACACTCATAAAAAAATTTGACTTTACTTCCTCCATATCTTTTTATAAGAAACAATATCTCTTATAGTAGTGTCCTTAAACATATGAAACAAATCCTCTTTGTCTCAAATTTTAACGGTTTTTTTCACTTTTGTCCCACTAAGTACATGCCATTTACTAACTCTCTGCAATAAATTTCTGCTCATTATCTCTCATTTACTACTCTCTTTACATCTTATACATTTATTATACTACCTTCGAATCCTTAATATAAGATTTTGTTTGACTTTTATTTTGGTCCTAAATATAAGACCCTAATTCATTTTATTATTTATATTTATACATTCTTTTCTAAAATAGTCCTTCTAACAATGTTAGTTCTGGCCAATATATCTGATTAGTAAGGATATTTTAGGAATGACAACATTAATTTATTACAAATAACTAACTTAACTTATTTTTTTAATCTCATCAAATTAGTTAACTAGCTCTTCTAATTAGAACCAGATTTAGTATTTAACTAAATTTAATTAACATTTTTTATAGTCGTTTCTTATCCAAGTAAAAAACTAGCAATAATGTTCATTGCACCGCTAACCCTCATATAACCGTCATTAGTGTAGCTGACCCAAAAGAATAAACCAGGCCCAAAACAGCGAAATTAGGCCAGAACTTCTGATGTCCGCAGCCGACTGCCTTTCAGACGGGCCTGAAGCTTTAAACCCTTGACAAAATTAAAACCCTCTGTGTCCTCGCTAGCGGCCTAGCATCTCATCTCAGGGACACTAACCGTCATGGCGAAATGGTGGCGCTCGGCCGCCGGTAGTCTCCGGGCGGTGGCTGCTAGCCGTTGGGAGTCCTCGTTCTTATTGAGATTCCAAGTCGCTTCCTACCACACGATCCAAGCTATTCCAAGAGAGTGCACTGGTAATCGAGTCTCTGCTAGAGACAGAATGCAAGGTCGAATTCCAGCCGTTGTTGAGTACCAGAATCTTCTCAGTAAAAATGATGTCATCCAATCGAGGAAGCGTTTGCTTACCACGGAGAGGAAGCAGATTAAGGCCATACTCAAGGCCGTGGACCTTCCTTTCTTCTACTCAACCCGGTTTCCCCTCCAGATCCGCGCTGGCTCTGGATCTTCCCATATGCTCGAGTCTGGAACTGTGCTACCGATTAAGGTTTTCTTTTATACAAGTTTGGAGAATTTGGAGATTGACTATTAATTGAACTTAGTGATTTTTGTTTTTAAGTTTTTAACTTGTTATTTTGGTTTTCTTCATCTGCTATGTAGATTCATAGGGACAAAGAGAGTGGGAAAATTCTAAATTTAGTGTTTGTTTGGGCTGATGATGGGCTGGACGTGAAGGTGGATGTGCCTGTTGTTTTTAAAGGCGAAGATGTTTGTCCTGGCTTGCAGAAAGGTATTTTCTTTGCCTATTTATATCCATTTGATTTTGGGATTTTATTTGGAAAATTACCGCTATATCTTTGGGTTTGAGTAGAATTTGGGTGAAGTTTATTAGGCTCTATTTAGAATGATGGGGTACGATGAAATGCATGAAAACCAGAAGCTCACATTCTTGCTTGTGGAGTGAGCAATTTCATTACTTTGGGGGCTATGCCGTCGTTCTACCACCAAATCCCTAATCTTTCTCAAACATAGATTGGAAATCTTTATGCTCCTTTTTAAATGGTGCGCGCGCGCGCACACATATATATTAGCCTTTTGAAATGTTACACACACACACATGTATATATTAGCCTTTTTAAATGGCGCACAGATATATATATATATATATATATATATATATTACCGTGAGTTATGGTATTCATGCTCTTGAACCTGTTAATTAAATAATGATCATGTGTCATGTAGTAGGAAATCGCTTTTTTGTGTAAAATCTGATAATCAAAAGAAACAATAAATACATAATTAGGAGGTTTGAGCATTATACGGGGCTTTAAATCTTTTGTTGTTTGTTCTGGCTGAAATGGTAAGTTTTTTAGTCTGACAGTCCCACACATTTGAACATGTATTGTGGTGGTGTTTTCAGACATGCGACAGTTTAAGATAGGTTTGTTCATGCTTTATAGATAATAACTCAGTAGTTCCGTGACTTTGCTTTTGGCTGGCAAATATATCTTGCAGCATGCGGTTTTAATATAGCTTTGAAGGTCTTTTGATGTTTGGAATAATAAACTAGCTTATTCTCTCAACTTCTTGTCCTTTTTCCTATAAAATAGGTGAATTGTTTGTACCCTTTTCATCCCATCATTTGCTTAACTTTGTCAGTGTTACATGGTATGGAAAGGTTGGCAGTTCACAGTAAATTATCTCGATATGTTGATTATAAATTTGTTAGACTGGTACGTAACAAAATTGGTGTGGAAATGGGGGTTAGTGTGTTTTAAATTCTAATATGAGAATATTATGGTATTGCAGGTGGTTGTTTGAACAGGATCCGAAGTAGTCTTAAATTTCTTTGTCCATCCGAGCACATACCATCAAAAATTGAGGTGGATGTGAGCAATCTAGATATTGAAGACAGGGTTTTCATGCGTGATATTGAGGTTCATCCATCCTTAAAGCTGCTGAGTAAGAATGAAAACATGCCTATATGTAAAATAGTTCCCACAGTGTTGGAAAACAAGGGACCTGCTCCTGCTGACAACCCTCAACATTCTTGAGGAGAAACGCAAAGGCAGAGATGCAGGATCCAAATAAATGGGGTACACTGGAGCAGTGTTGAGTTCAAGCAGCTGCAATTTTCACCTGTTTGGTTATTTTGTACGAAACGGGCGTTTCATTTTTGGTAGTAGGTGGCTGTTGATGTCAAATGCATTATTGATTTCTGTATTCGCAAATATACGATGGCCAGATATGTTTGCATCAAAGCCACCCCTTTAATCTAGCATTGTAGTCTTGATCCTTGCTCAACGACAGAACCAAGTGCAGTTGGGGAAATTGTTCCTGGTACTGTCATTACTGTTCTCACGGGACCATTTCTAATAGAGCCAAATTTCCCATGCCAAGAATGTCTTGTTTTCTGTGTGGTTACTCCTGTTGCATTGAACCAGAATGGTATGTGTCTGTTTTTTCCGTTTTTCCTATGGCCTTGCAAATTAGTTCGGGATGTTGTAATGATAAATTTCTTCCTTTTAATTAGTGTTAGAGGTTGTTCACTTTATCTCTATTGTTTACGAGAGATATAGATAAGTTGTTTTGGTACAATCTTGAGCTTCGAAAAAAGGAAAATGATAATTTTAATTCAGCTATTGGCCGGTTCCTTCATCGCAAGAGAAATCATCTTATGGATTGCTACTCTGTTGGAGCAGAGGCTACAGGAAGATAGTGACATACACTGGCTATGTAGCGGCTATGTCTATTTTGTAGAGGTTGTGATGAAAATTACCTGTTGAAAGACATGATGCTAGATTATTATTTCATAGGGATTGGACTGTTGCCTCGGTATATACTGCTAGGGAACATATTCCCCTGATTATTTAGCTAAATTCTCTTATTCCATAGAGTAATTTTTGTATTTTAGATCAACCACCTTTCATAAGTGAAGGGGAGATTGTTAAAGGAAACTAAGACTCGTTGATTTTTTTTTGTAATGTTTTGATTTTCAGTATTGATTCAAAAAAAAAAAAAGAAGTTATTCCATAGAGAGTAATTTTTGTATCTTAGATCAACCACCTTTCATATGTGTGAAGGAGAGATTTTTAAAGGAAACTAAGACTTGTTGATTTTTGTTGTAATGTTTTGATTTTCAGTATTGATTCAAAAAAAAAAAAAAGATACTCTTCTTTTTGTTGTGTATAGGTGTCTCTTAGTGTAATATTGTTTGAGATACTTTTTGGGACTAAAGATGTGATTTATTCTTTCCGTAAGGATTTAAAGTTTGGTTAATCTCATTGTAAGGATTAGTTTATTTTTGGGAAAATGACAATAAAATACCACTTCAATTCCAAAAGGACAAATAAGGGACCTGAATAAGCAAAATGACAAGGAGGTCACTGGGAACCAATCTGGAATTAATATTTTCGGCGAAAAGACCGAAATGCCCTTAAGATGTTTGAAACTTGAGGAGATGGAGAAAAGGCGGAAACCGACTCCTCGGCGAAAACAACACCCCACTCGACGAAAGAGGAACTGCTTCCACTCAGCGAAAGCAACCCCCACTAAGTGAAACAGGAACTAGAACTACCTCACCCAGTCGACGAAAGCAACCCGCCGACCCGACGAGAGCAACCCACCGAAACAGAAAGTGCCCCCACTCGGCGAAACCAAATCGAAGGTCCTCTAGTAACGAAAAAGCGGTCGCCGAAATCACATTGTCGCCGTCGCTTTCGAAATTAAACAGGTAGGGAACTTGAATATTGTTGTTCATTCGATGGGTCCCCGAAGCTTAAAATGTAATTATGCAGTGATGCTCTTTGTGGTTCCGTCTTTGTTGTTCCCATAGAAGTTGCTCTAGGACGAAAAAAGTTGTTTCCATGTTATTGCTGATGTGTTTGGTTGTGTACATATTTGGAAATGATTGTGATTGATAGTGTTTAATCCATTTTGGGTGGCCTTTAATTGGAACAGGGGATTGCTTTTGTTGTGGGGATTGGTTTATTTTGATTTGAAGGAAAAGAACAAAATGGAAAGGATAGTTTTGTCGGTGTTATTTGACTTTTCTAAAAAGAGTATAGCTTTCTATGTGGAGAGGGTGGGATTTTAAGGAAGTAGAATTCCACTAATTTGGTCTGCATGCGCGGCAATGACAAAGTTACTTTCATTTTCATTGAATGGTTTAGGGTGAAAAGTTTGTCCTTGCGTGGGTAAAATTTGCAAAGGTTATCCTGTTGTAGTAATTTAGCAAGCAGTAATTCTATTAGCCGAGTAGTAAATTTGATGAGGTAAGTAGTAAATAGTACTAGCGGGTTTGGTTTTGAAATAACAACTGTTGGTCTGAGAAGGACTAAATTTGTGTTGGCAATGATTACATTTGTTAAGTGATATGTTAATGAAATTTACAACATTAATTAGAGTAATTGACTACATTCGGCAATGGAAAATAATAGATTTGGTAAGGGAATGACAACATGCTTGTGATGCAAATTCAATTGAGTGGACAATGATATTGAGGTGATATATTACTGAAATTTACTACATCAGTCAATGAAAGTAACCAGATTTGTTACGGGAATAACAACATTGTGGTGATGCAAATTCATTTAACTGTGCAATGGTTTTGTAGGTCATGTTAATGAGATTTACTACATTTATTAGTGGAATTTACTACATTTATTAGTGGAATTTACTACATTAGTCAATGAAAGTGACCAGTTTTGCTAGGGGAATAACAACGTCGTGATGCGAATTCATTTGACTATGCAATGGTTTTGTAGGTCATGTTAAAGAGATTTACTACATTTATTAGTGTAATTTACTACATTAGTCAATGAAAGTGAGCAGATGCAAATTCGTTTGACTGTGCAATGGTTTTGTAGGTCACGTTAATGAGATTTACTAGATTTATTAGTGGAATTTACTACATCAGTCAATGAAAGTGACTAGATGCAAATTCATTTGACTGTGCAATGGTTTTGCAAGTCAGGTTAATGAGATTTACTAGATTTATTAGTGGAATTTACTACATTAGTCAATGAAAGTGAGCAGATGCAAATACAATTGACTGTGCAACGGTTTTGTAGGTCAGGTTAATGAGATTTACTACACTTATTAGTGGAATTTACTACATTAGTCAATGAAAGTGAGCAGATGCAAATTCGTTTGACTGTGCAATGGTTTTGTAGGTCAGGTTAATGAGATTTACTACATTTATTAGTGGAATTTACTACATCAGTCAATGAAAGTGAGCAGATGCAAATTCGTTTGACTGTGCAATGGTTTTGTAGGTCACATTAATGAGATTTACTACATTTATTAGTGGAATTTACTACATCAGTCAATGAAAGTGAGCAGATGCAAATTCGTTTGACTGTGCAATGGTTTTGTAGGTCACGTTAATGAGATTTACTACATTTATTAGTGGAATTTACTACATCATTCAATGAAAGTGACCTGATTTGTTATGGGAATGACAACATCGCCGTGATGCAAATTCATTTGACTCTGCAATAGTTTTGTAGGTGATATGTTAATGATATTTACAACATTTATTAGTGGAATTTACTACATTAGTCAATGAAAGTGACCAGATTTGTTACAGGAATAACAACATCGTCGTGATGCAAAGTCATTTGACTGTGCAATGGTTTTGTAGGTGATATGTTAATGATATTTACTACATTTGTTAGTGGACTTGACTACACTTGTTAATTGAGTGGACAATGGTATTTTGATGATATGTTAATAAAATTTACTATATTTGTTAGTGTAATTGACCACATTTGTTGATGGAATTGACGACATTGTTGTGAAAGAAATATAGTACTATGAATGACTAACAAGTGGTGTCATTGCAGCAGGGAAAATGGAGTTACAAGTACAAGTAGAAGGACAAGGAGAGGGAAGTGGACAAGTGAAGAGTGGGTACATGCTGTTTCTGCATGAATTTAAGGCGGGCAAAGAGTTTAGGAATAGGAGAGAAGAAGTTAGGGAGGGAGCAAAGGCATGGAGGGAGCTGCCACCAGAGGAGAGGAAGAAGTATAATGATAAAGTGAACAAACCAAAGAAGCAAGGGACGAAGAAGAAGCGGATGAAAAAAGTTGCTTTTAGCACTCGTTGCTCAGTCCGGCAGTACAAGTCATTGGTGGAATTTATAAATAGCAATGACAGATTGAAAGCCAAGGTACAAAGTTTGGGATTTGCAAGTTTGCTTGACATGGGATGTGAGAGACTCCCTCGTGACCTCATAGTACGCATTCTTCGAGCATATGATCCGCCTACTCATCAATTTACAATAAGGGGGAAGATCAAGGAAATTGATGCACAAGATGTTGCGGAGTTGTTGGAGGTACCCCACACAGGGGAAAAGGTAAGAACGGATGTGGATGATGATGATGAAACATACAAGAGGTTGAAGAATGAATATGGTAAAGTCTCTTTTACCAAGATACTCAAAGACATTAAATCTGGGGAGAATGAGGAGAATTTCGAGTTCTTGTTCATGCTGTACACACTTGGGAGTTTTCTAGCTCCTACCTCACAAACAACAGTCAGTGACAAGCTAGTGAGGGTGATGTGTTGTACTATGCATGAATTTCACCAATTTGATTGGGCCACATACATTGTGAACAACTTGTGGAAAGAGATGGAAGATTATGTTGAAGTGTATAGAAACGTAGGGGAAGACAATGATGAAGGGAGTTGCAACGTCGGAGGATGCATCTACCTCTTATTGGTATGTATTTACTACCATTGTTTTTTGTTCTATGTTTGAATGGAGTGATGATAAAATTAATAATTTGATGTTGCAGTTATATCTTGCTGAGCGCTTCCCATTATCTAAATCTGTTAGAGATGGGTCAATAAGTGCTATTCAATTCTGGACTGATGAGAGGATAAAGGAGATGACAAAGAAGGAAAGGCAGAGCAACAGAGGCCTATTGTATAAGCAGAAGGGCTCGAAAGTTAGGGTTGGAGATGAGGAGAGAAGAAGGAGAAGTGTCGCTGACTTACACCCGGTGTGTTTATTTGCTTCGTAATTTCAATGTGCATTAAAAAGATAAAGTGTTTGACCTTTTTTTAATGATGTGATGCAGGAGTTGCAAAGCTTACATCGAAAGTTGATGGCTGTAATTGATTTAAGCTACAAGAGACTTGTTAGTGCAGTAGAGGATGAGCTACATAAGGTGCACATAACGATGGAGGAAAATCGTACTGTGGGAGATGAGGGCCCTAGTGAAGTTGGAGCTGAATATAAGGGAGAAGATGAAGCTGATGATGGTGATGATGAAAATGAGGGAGATGATGATGATGGACAGGACTCAGGACACATACCTCATCATGGAGATGACTCGGACGAGGCTGACATGGTTGATGTTGAGGAAGAAGGAATACAAGCAGGAGATATGGATTCCCCTGATGTTTCCCCCATGGACAAGAATGCACAGCCCAGGAGATCACAGAGGGAGGTGAAGTCGGCCATAAATTCTCCATGGATTTTGACAATGCCTGTGAAGAGGAAGAAGAGGAATATGGAGGAAAAGGAAAAGTTTTTTAACATGATATCCCGCATGTGTTCAAGGCAGGATGGTGACGTGTAAGTTACTATTCGCATGACTGTGAATGATATTACTTATCGGTTGTTTACTA